GCTAAATGTATTCACAAATCAATGATTCACTTAATGAACACATTTTTTATGAATAAAAATTATGATTACAACTTTTTTACCTTTTAATTTTTTGAGCGCAACTTGTGTTCACACAATTTGAATCTCATGCTATAGTAGTCCATACTGTTAGCTATATTTACGGGACATGTGATAAGATTATGTAAGCGTTTAGAGAGACGTGTCTTTCACTGATATGTCGTTCACTACAACACTATTACAACGGTTTGGCTAAACATTACAGCATATTATGTAACACTCAATGGGTTAGCACTGAGACTATAGTATGACTCATAGCTAGAAATATTCAGTGAGTGTGAGTGAGTGAGTGAGTGAGTGTGTGTGTGTGTGTGAGTGAGAGAGAGAGAGAGAATATAAAGTTTTAAAGTTTTCTACTTATAACAAATAATTATATTTTTTATTTGTGAATCTAACAATTTACTAATCTACTAATAAGTTATAACATATACAGTATTGTGAGTAATTATACCAATACATAATTAATTTACCATTTCTTTGAACACTTTAATAAAATAAAAATTATCTAGATAACAAGTTGTTACAAATAAAATAACTGCAAAATTCATTATTGGTGAAATATTATTTGAATAGCACGAATTCTTACTTGTTAGTAATAAAATCATAAAATTTTATATTAATAACATATAATAATTAATAAAATTTCATAATTTATAGTTAGACTATCATAATTATAGCTATAAAACCAATAATGTATATGAAGCCACAAAAATATCATAATAATATGAACATTGAAATCATAATTTTGATATTTAAAAAGTAAATCTAAGAATATTACTTTCATTATATCAATATTAAGATTATATTCTCTATTTGTATTTAAATTCATTTATTATGCAATATAGATAGTTTGTAGTTGATTATTTTGTATACCCTCAAGTAATCATCAATATTATGAGATTTATAAGTTATAAATTATAACTTTTATATCTGAAAATGTGAAATATGCGGAAATCATTGATAAAAGTGGCACCGACCTATATGTCACCTTGCTACCAGTTTATATTGCGGTTAGCGTTATCAGAACTATAACTTATAGTCTATAAGTATGAGATATTTAATTTAAACTTTTACATTCATATTTTACTAATTCAAAATACATTTTTACACTTAAAAATAAATTAGCAAATTATACACGCTTAACAAAAAATTTTATTTGGATGATAAAGTAATAAGTATGGTCATAACCTTTGCTCGTGATTGTCGACAAACATTGGCGCTTAATAGCGAACAAATGGCAAAGCTTGATGAGTTAACTAATGTAAAGGTTTACCTGCCTACATTTCGCTATACATCGCTTGATAGCCGTTGGATCTTTGGTATTGCTTAAAATGCATGGAAATATAGACCTGGGTGCTTAACATTTTACAGTACAATGAATTTTGCTCTTAACATTTGCTCCATTATGAGCCAGCTAACCCTGTCGTATTCATTATGGATCACTGCATTACTGTATTGGAAAGCATAACCATTGCAACTGTCAATAGGGTCATAAATGCATTGGCCCCGGATAAAAATATGTAACAGTTATTTAGTTAAGTATCACTTTTATAACAAGATAATTTATATTAATTGAAATTGAGTTTTATTAATTTGTAATAAATTTTGTTATTTATATCATATTTATATTAACCAGGTAGAGGTGACTTGTTTTTGAATACTTAGTTTATATTATTAGTACATTTTAATTAAAAATCATTTTTGAAATTATAGTAAAATTAATGAAATAGAAGTGAAAACCAATTGAATGTGTTTTGTATGAAATGATGGCACTATTGATGAGCGGATGTCATAAGAGTGATGAGCTCTTCGTAATTGATGTCTTGGTTATCGTTGACATCGATTTCGTTCACCATTTCGTCAAACTCTTCGTTAGTCAACGGGTCGTCGATACCATTGATGGCGTGTTTGAGATCATCGATAGATATGAATCCATTGCCGTCTCTATCAAACACTTTGAAGGCNCGTGTTTGAGATCATCGATAGATATGAATCCATTGCCGTCTCTATCAAACACTTTGAAGGCTTCCCTCAACTCCTCCTCGGCCTCCGAGTCCTTCGTCTTCTTGAGCGACAGTTTGAGGAACTCATCGAAAGTGACGGATTCGGTGTCATTGGTGTCCATCTCTGAAATGAGTTCCCGGATCTCCTGTTCACTGATAGTCATGCCATACGATTGGATCACTTCTGTCAGCTCTTTCACTCCAAACGATCCCTTATTTCTCTTTTCAAACATTTTAAACATTTTCTCGTATTTTGCGATCTCTTTGGCACTCAGTTTGCGATTCACTGAAGAATTACTCATTTCTTACATAAACTTACAAATTATGGATTCATTCAAACAAAACACATATAAATGCAAAGGATTTGAAAACCAATAATCATTTCCTAAAGAATTTAATAGTTATCTCGCGTTCAATGTATTATTGATAAATGTAAATATTTTATTCATAATTCAATTTACAACTAATAAAACCACAACACAAATGGCAAATCCGGTGATTATATTCGTGATCGGAGGGCCCGGCTCTGGGAAAGGCACCCAATGCGAGAAAATTTGCAAAAAGTAAGTCATTATATAATTTGTCATTGATTTTACAGTTAATGGCAGAGTATTTGAGTAGAAAAACGTTTGATTTGTGAAACTTTTAGTTGGTTTGAAGTTTTCTAGACATGAGTTAGTAAATGGATGTCTGTATCACCACTTTAGGTACGGTTTCACTCACTTATCGACCGGCGATTTGCTTCGCGAGGAAGTGGCCTCCGGTTCAGACTTAGGCCAGAGTTGTAACGAAGTCATGAAAAAAGGAAAACTCGTGTCCAATGAACAGGTGTTGGCGCTCCTCAAGAAGGCCATCCACAACAACAGCCGCACCAATGGATTCCTGATCGACGGATTCCCGCGACAGGTATGGCATATATATAGCGATTGTATGGCACGGATGGGTATGATATTTGATGGACAGTTGGATCAGGCGATCGCCTTCGAGAAGGAAGTCAGTCCATGCAATATAATACTGTTCTTCCGGTGCAGCGATGATGTGATGATTAAGCGACTGATGAACAGAGGGCTGACCAGCGGTCGGGTCGATGACAACGAGGAGACAATTAAGCACCGATTGGACACATTTCACGACAACTCGGTCCCCATTGTGGAGCACTTCGGCGAGAAAGTGGTCAGTATTTGGGCGGAAAGGGAGCCAAATGTCATCTTCAACGACGTGGTCCGGGCGTTGGACACCCTTCCCAAGGGATCCAAAGAAGTTAAGAAAGTTACTAT